GAAAATAAATAGATAAATAATAAAAGGACTGATTTTATCAGAATTTGCAAATATATTGAAAAGAAAAAATAAAATACGCAAGTATGAGAAACTTTTAAGACTATTCGAGATCGTATCTAGAAGTATCAATTTCATAAGGAAACGGATGACGATAAAAATTACGAGTATGAACGAATCTTTGACAGACAATGCATAGTTGTATGGGCTAGCGGTCTGGCACAGGGAAAAGAAAGACTTCATGGCGAGATATATTGTCCCCGTATTCATTTTTACCAGTGATTTAAACTTTATCTCAGCGTGCCACTTGCTTACGTGTAGTGGACCTTCCAAATAAACGATACGATGCGCGGTAAGGTTTTCAATCTCGCGGTTTCCCTTTTTCTCCGTGTAAGCTGCTTTTCGGGACAGGGATAGCATTTTTATCGATGGATAAAAAAGGGGTCGAGAATAGCCATCGACAATGGAGTATCGAACGGCCACAGGAAGGTATTAATGCCTTATAAATGTCAAAAATATATAATACTTATTTGTATCTCCTTTCTATCGCACTATTAAATTTTTATATATGTAAGGAGAATTAATAGACTTCCTTCTACTGAAAGTTGTTGGTAAAATTTATATGAAGTAATTGTAGAAGACACATTTGTAAAGTATTTCCATGATATAAGAGATTCCTTCATTCTAAAAATATGTGAAACAGAAAAGGCTGCTTATCTTCTACTTAACACGAATTTGCAAACTTGTAAATATAAATCATTAATGCATTAGTATTAGTACTATACAAATTTAATGTCCAATTCTTCGTTGATATTTCATGAGATGCAGACTTAAGTATCGAACTTGTAAGCAAGATACGCGCGATCTTAGCGAAAAATCCTGATGCGTGGAATTGATATCAACGATCGTGGTGATCGTCGATAAAACGACAGCATAAACTTTCCTATCTCGACGACGACGCCAAGGCAATAAATATCGTTGAATGATTGTACCAGCGAATACACCACGATGAGTCTTGATAATCCAACGGGGCTGCACGAAAAGAATAACACGAAGAGAAACGACGGGAGTCGGAGGAGCTCATTTACATATCAATTCGTTCATTGACATCTGAGTAAAATTCAAACAATAGCGGCGACCAATTCAATCGTATCGTTCCATTAACTGAGCATTCAATTCAGAGCACCGACTGAAATTCGTATTTCACCTCTGATACCATAAACACGACACGCGCAATACTATTTACTTATCATATTATGTTATATATATAGATACTTTTGGATGTACGTTAAAAAAATAAATGTAAATTTTTTTATTAAGATGGAATAAAAAGCACGTCGCATAAAACATGAATTTTCTTATTTTAATAAAGTGCCACGAAAGTTGTTGGAAATATAAATTTACCATTTGGGGAGTTAGTCTTTAGTATAAATGTTTTTAACAAAGTTAACATCAACTTTTGTTCAGATCAAAGCATGTACAATTATAGATTTTTTTATTAGTAATTACTTGTCTTGCTACATATTAGAAGCTAATTGCGCCACTGTGAAAGTAATTGGTGTAAACTGATCATTTGGTTGTTTCAACAGTAGTTCTCGTGCTATTATTTTGTACATCTTTATTGTAATTATAATTATTCGTAAATTGACACGGCTGATCGTAGTTACGAATTTCAATCTCTTCAGGCGGATTCTTTCCGTGGATTTGGGATTCTACTCGAATAAATCGCACTGCGTGTACGCATTTGGATGCAGCTGAGTGAACGTGAGCACACTTGAGAGAGATAATTCACGAGATAAATTCACGTGGGGGAGAAACGGTGCCCATAGCGATATTCAAATTCAAGAAACACCCGAGTGCAAATGTACACCGTAGCAGAAACTTTTCGCGGCTGCGCCTGCCCTG